GCTGCAACTCAAAATCGATATAGCGAATCTAGCCAGATTATATCCTTCGCGGGGCTTCGCACAATACTCGTAATCCGTCGTAAACCGTGACCGCAGTTGAGACCGTGGCGATATTTAGGCGTACGTCGGAAATCGATAGCAAACGCACGCTGTGCGCGATGAGTGCAGGCGTTTGTCACATCGATTGATGCAAGCGGAGAAAATATTCGGAGAAGTTCAAAAATTTCACCCCGCGCGAAAGAGCGACTTTGCTGGAATCGCGTCGTCTCCGAAATGTGTGATTAGAAGCGGATTGTAAACAATGTTATAAATTTACGTCGATGAAAAACGTAAATTGTTCAAATTATTATAAATTAAAAATTTTTTTTCTTTTTATATATAAGTATATGTATATAATGGAAGCAAAATAATATTTTTTCTCGTCACGTAAGTAGACGAAAAATTTCATTAATCGCCAGTTTTGTTTGAAAACTTAACGTTTTTTCTTCTACCTTTTCAACTATCTATTCAACCCTAGCAACAACTGCCTACGAATATTTTGCATTTTTCAAAGATAATTGAACAGTGTAGCGAGCAACCCTACCTTGTCATTAAGTGCACGTGAACAAATGTACGCGCATGCAATGATGCTTTCGAAACGATGACTGTCCTCGCGCAGTTTTTTAAGCGGGGTTTTATTTTGTCAGCGAAAAATTGTTTGCACGTCGATGATTACGAATCGCACTGTGTTGTAATATTGAGAACTACACAACGGTATAAAGTAACGTTATACACGATGTAAAAATAAGATCAATATAACAATGTAAGAATAAAAAAATTAGCATTAAGATGTGTTTAGATCTATGTTTATAAATATCTGGGTTGAATAACGTAGAACTGGCTTTACAATTTCGTCTTGCGTCCTGGTAAATAATCTTAGCGAGGATGCCGGGCGTCAAAGAGGGGCGCAGAGGGGTATCGTTGCGAGAGAGGAGAGAAAGAAGGAAGAAAGGCGACACCTGCGCGCGTGCGTGTAAGAGAGAAAAAGAGAGAGAATGGGAGAGAAGAGGGGATGGAGTTATCGAGGAAGAGAGATGCGAAGGGGTGAGACATGAGGGGGAGCGGAGGGAGAGAGAGAAGCTGGAGCAGAGGGGTGCAAGGAATCTCCATCGTGGCAAACGGGTCGATCGGGTGCGTGTGCAAACATTTTCCGCGTGCGTTTTCTTCGCGTGTGCGTGGAAAATTCGGCTGGCAAAGAGGGGGATGAAACAGCGATAAGGGTAGCGAGCGAAGAGATGAGAATTTTCTATAAGCACAAGCCACGTTGAGAATTTGAGAAAGAGAAACAAGAAAAAAAACATCTCTCTATTTTTCTATTCCCTTCTTGTGCCTCTCTTCTCTTTTCTTCTGTTTCTTCTTGCTTTTCTGTCTTATCTATGGAGAATTTTTTCAATTGTGCAAATAAAAAGTATAAGAAAAAGGCGACTAATAAAGTTCACGTCGCATTCTGACATATGAGTCTTTAAATCATACAAGTGTTTCGTAAATACAGAATATTTCACAACTCGCAGATGATCTTCTTAATGATAGACTTTTTAATCAGTTTAAAAAAAGTCCGGTTTTCCTCGATAAAAATATCGGCAGATGCAAATATTTATCACATTTTTCCTATTTTCAGCATTATATGTCTTTAATTAAAGTGCTTTGTGATATTTTCATTGAGGAAAAATCAACTCCAAATTGATTCATAAGTTTCGGAGACTTTTATATATTTTCGTCAACTGCAAGATAACTTTTTCATGTATAATTCAATAATAATCATTATTAACCATTTTTACTAACGTACATAAGAAATATATATATATATATGCACCATATTTATTGATCAATGTTGAAATTAAGATTGTCAAAAATTAACAATTTTTATGCGCATAAAGCTGCAAGAATTAAGCATTCTAGGAAGTAGAAGAAAGCTCGGGAATATCTTTCGTCCGTGTCTCCGCGCGAGCGCGCAGAGAATTCGAGAGAAAGAGAGAGAGAGGGGGGAAAAGAGAGATTGTCCAAGTGCGCGCGCGCGTATACGCTCGCGCTCGCGCGGCCGTCGCACGTGCGTGGCTGCGTGTGTACGGGGAGGCTGTGACTCATCCTGCGGGAGAGGGAGAAAGAGCGAGTCCTGTTCCCGCGGCAGGAAACAACGAGTGGGGGTGGGGATCAATATATCGACTCGAGAAACACTCCTGCCCGTTAGCGGGAACTGCGTAGCTTCAAGGTCCTCCCCCACACTCCTCCACCTCTCCTCCCACGCTTTCCTTCCTTCCTTCTCGCTCTTATCCTCGATAAAGTCGATTTTCGGGCGGAATCGGAAGCGGTGCGTTTTATTCACGTTAGAATTTACGAGCGAAAAGCGCTTTTAGACCCGATATAATTCCGCCTCGCCTTCGTCCTGCCATTTTAAAAAAGCGTTACCGTGACTTTAATCGCACTGCGAACAGCACCAAATGTAAATAACGGACTAATTCATTAAACTCGAGAGAATTAATATCTAAAGCGCAGCATCTAATAAGCTAAAATGCAAATTAATTGAAGACGGAATATTTCATCGTGGTCATTAGGTTGATTGAAAAATTACGTCAACCCAGATTGAACGTTAAGCGACGTTGTTGCGTTATCGCGTCAAATAAATAAGCTGTTGTGGCTTGTCTTTTGACAGAATTTCAAAGTTGGGTTTTTAACGATCGCCGTCGACGGCACGAGCGCCCGTCGTATTATTTTGCCGTGACGAGCGTATAGCGAGCGGGTTGATTGGCCTGCCGTTCAGATAACCCTGAGCAGTCGAGAATTGTATCCGGTTATCGGCGCGGTTATCGGTTTAACGAATAACGCAAAAAGCATTCGTAATGCACTCGCGAGGCTCGCACCGAGATGAGTCGAGTCGAGTCGCGCCTGCAGTAAACCGACGTAACCGAATCCTCGTCCGTACGCGAAACAGATCCCCTTTCTCTCTTCCTTCACCCGTCCTGTCGCCCTCTCGTTCTCCTATTCGCCTCTCACCGGCTTTGACGGGCTTCCGTTGTTTCGATTTATCGAGAAACCAGAAACGAAACGGCAGCCACTTTACGGCAGCCGTCGCCGTCGCCGACGCCGTCCGCATTTGTTTCATTTCACGCCAGAGACAATTCACAGTCGCGGAATTTGCGCGCACACATTCCCGTCTGTTCTCAATAGCGATATAGCGTTCACGCATAAAAATCCGAAGATAGCGCGTACTTAACATCAAATACTACAAGAGAAGAAGAGCAAATACGAGCTTGTTTGTATCTTTATCCGCGAGCAAGGCGAATAAGAAATCGAGCGGAGACGCTCCGAAGTCGCGTCGGGGGTCGATGATCCACGTGTTTATGAGAAATCGGGTCAAAACAAGAAGGAAGGCGATAAAAATCAGACGGTGGTAGTCGAAGAGAGCGAAGAAGGGCGGAGGGTAGAATGGATACGGCCTCTCGACAGCAGGTGTGCAATGAACTCTCGAGGGCAGAGTCCTTTCTCGCAAAAGACGAAAGGAAAGAAAGAGCGAGGACGACCGTTCCCTCCCTCAGGGATAAAGAGGGTGTTAAGTTCCGCAGGGGAGAGGAGTGTGGGTTGTTGTGACGGCGTGTTCTACACCAGTCTTCGACTCTTGGCGATCTATCATCCCTTTCTTTCGGTCCCGCGCGACTTTTGGCTCCGCCGAAAATAGTCAGAAATTTGACGCGCGACTAATTTCGCAGAAATCGAACTTGCCTTTTAAACCAGTCTCGTCCCGAGTCGACGAGAATGACCGAATCTGCGAAAACAGCCGACTCGAAATCGCCTCGCTGCTCAAATGCAGGAAATGAGAAATTTGTGAAGTATCTCGTGAAAAAAATGGCCCTCTTAAATATTGATTAGATATAGCGCGCTATCGGGAAGCTGTAAAGTGCACCGATCAGCGAAATACTAATTGATAAGTGGCGGAATGTTATCAGGGAACTGTGTTGGCGGCGTCGCCGGGGCGGGACGTGCGATCCGGCGCGTGTGTCGCCGGCAAACAACACGTCTGACGTTTCTGAACGAGACTGAAGTTCGATACGATTATTATGACCCGCGGTGAGCCTTGAACTTGCCCTACGATAAGCCGTTCACGAGCTCGCCGTTGTTACTGCGCGCCTCGAGGCATCGGGCATTCTCGTCAATAATCACCGCGTCGATATATACGCGCCGCGTTTTCTCCGATCGCTAGTCGAATCGGAATAATTGCGACGGATTTGGACGAAATTTTTCGCACTTTCTTAAAATTCATCTAGCGATTGTAAAAAAGTAAATTCTTATTTATTGCCGACGTTTTTTTAATATATTGTTGGACCAAAGTGTAGCATTTCGAAAACTGTAGCGACGAGAAAGAGAACGAGAGATACTTTTCATCCGCTATCGATATGGTAATTTTAAATTACAGTTTGATCGCAAACGCGAGATCACAGGTAACTCGACGCCATCCCTAGAAGCGGTAGCAGCTGAACAGTTAGCCAGTCAACCCACCAACCCCCTATTCAATGTCGCTACAATAATAAACCACCTCGGTTATCTGTATTTCTGTATTTCCCTCAGGGATTCTCGGCACATATATTCAGGCATTGAGGCCAAGTTCAAGCTATATATATCGTTCTATAACGGCATTTTGTCTGTACGTTTATACCTTCCTATACAGTAATAATACGTTGCTCGTGTCTATCGGGATTTCGTAGAACCAATTGCCGTGAGAAATCGAAGGCACGCGATTATATTCTTGCGTAAATCGTGCGATTTGACGATTTTAACGCTTCGACGATTTTGAAGAGGACACGCGTATATTTCCAAATATATGCAAGAAAATATAATCCGCGGCGTAATTTGGTTTATTACTAATTTGCGTTGGAATAAATTTGAAATTGAAAATCGAGACAAGCGCGCACGTTATTTCCGCACGATGTAAGATTGAAAGAAATGCGATTGAATGCGATTCGACTGACCTTTTTCTCGGTGAGCTTCTCGCATCTCCTCATCTTACAGATTTGATGGCTCTTGTCGTTCCTGCATGGCGCGCATTCTCCGCAATTGTCCTTCCGCTGGCATCCTATGCACTCCCCGCACCGTTTTCGTTTCTTCTTGGCCGGCTTGTCGCCGAGACCGCCGTCCCCATCGCCGTCGGTCATACCACCACCGAGGTGGTGCACGCCGCGGTTCGCGGTGGACGACACAGCGGCGACCTGACCGGAACTCTCGTTGCCGGTGCCGGCGCCGCCGCCGACACCGTCTTCCGATTCCATGGAGCCCGCGCGCATTTTTCTACGCTCCTTCTTACGGCCGTCGATGCCGATCGGCCGCGAGGTCGGCGATGAGTCCAGCACGGTCGACATCGGGTTTTGGAAATTACCATGATGCAGTTGCGAAAAGTCGGGGGGCTTCACGACCGTCAGCACCGTGTGATGTGGATGACCCGACGGAATGCCCTGACTCGTGCCCAGAATCTGTATGTGACGCTCGTCGAGTAGCTGCGGCTGGAACGCCGGGACCTCCCGCGCCTGCACCGGCGCTGGCACCAGGGGATAGCCGACCGATCCGCGATGAGGATGCGGCGTCGGCAGCGGCGTGCCAAGCGTGTGGAAGCTCGGCAGACCGATGGCCGACGTAACCGGCGGCGAGTGCGAAATGGATGCCGGTGACAATGGCGTGAGCGCCGTCAATTGAGGCTCGGCTTCGCTCGGCGCGGTAAACTGGCTGGCGAAGCTTGGCAGACCTTCGACACCGCCGCCTTTAGATTCCCAGGGTCGATACTGACTGGCCAGGATCACCTCGCCGCGGGAGTCGATCAGACGACCCGTCAGGCCCTCATAGTAACCATCCCAAGGTGGCAGGCCCACGCTGATGTCCTGCGAGTGGAGCGTCGTCAGCGTCGTCGAGCTGTCCATCGTGTTGTCGCCGGCGAAGCTGCTGAAGGGCGGCAGATGCGATCGCGCCGACAGGTCGCCGGTGCCCATCGTGCCCGGCGAGGTCGCGACCGCCACCGGAGGGCTCGTCGGGACCCTCTCGGTGGCGACGACCTCTTTCGTCACCTCGGCGCTCATCTTCTCCGTGTCATCGCGATCTCAACCCCCTCGCTCGCGCTCAATGGTCCTCTTCTCGCAGATCTCGCGCCGCGATGTCGATTCTCCTCGACGCTGCTCCTCCGTTCGATCCGAAGGCGGACGAGAAATTATCAAGTCTTTTTCGAAGAACATATAACGAACGAACTTCTTGCACGCGACATTGGCGCTTCTCTCGCTCTCTGATTCTCTTTCGCGCGATCCTACAGAGATCCGATCTTCTGTAAAGATCGGATTCTTTCGCAGACAACGCAGACGAGTTTGAAAGTTCCAGAATTCAATTAGAATTCAAATAAAGATTCTTCGATGATAAATATGAAAATTTAAATGTGAGGAGCGGAAGAGTCTCGATGCTGGCTGTTGGTGCAAATATGATCTTTATTCCAGAACTGAAGAAAATTCGCACACAAACTTGATCGCGAGTGTCAGTCTATCGACAACGCTTGTGTCGATCTCTCGATAGAGCACGTAGTCCTCCTATTTTGCGTAATTGTCTATTGGTTCTTGAATATGCTCGCTCTCTCGTTTTCCCGCTTACACTCTATTTCTCTCGCTCTCTCGCGCTCTTTCTCTCTTTCTCTCGCTCTCGCTCTCTTTCTCCCTCTCCTTGTCTCTATCTATATCTCTAGCTCTGTGTCGTTTTGTACTCAACAGGTTTAGGCTACGAACTGAAGTAGATCGGTTGCTCCGGGAGTGTTCGAGCGAATCCGGCTGATTTCTCCCTTTGTCTGTCTCTTCTTCCTTTCGCTTGGCGAAAATCTGTCACATGACGCGTCCAGTTTAAAAAATGCACTTATTTTTATATGGCTATTTCTATAAACCTCTACAAAACTGTGTCGGCTGGCTGCTTAATTAATCGGCTCTGACGAGGGAAACGGTGCGTGTCTCACTATTATTTCACTTGACGAGAGATTATTGTTACTCGGTGAATGATTAATAGAAAAAATGGTAGATTCTTTGGTTTACGGTTCTGCTCTCGCGCTGTGTTATTTAACTCGTTTTTCCTTCTTTGCTTCTGCTTCCTTCCGTTTTAGGTTAAATGCTGCCGTTTACAATCGTTTGCATTTATTTTTAAGAAATTTATGGATTAACACTGCGTGCCTAAAGGGTTATTATCTCAAGACAAAATAAACGTTCTAAACCCGATGTTATATATATAAAATAAATCTTATTCTATTCTACTCTACTCTACTCTCGGGGTGTGTGAAGTTAGCACCCCGGAATAAAAATTTCATAGTTCAAGATTTCATAGAACAAGATTCTGATTAGAGTTCTAGCTTCTTTTCCAAGAGTTCTAGAGTTCTACTTTCGCTCTTTCTTTCTCTGTGCTTCTCTATGTTACAACGATCACTTTCACCTCGTTTTCTTCCTCGATTTGGCACTGGTGGACTTGTTTATTTATTTGCTTGTTTGCTGGTTAATATTATCTTCCTCCCTTCGTTAGATATATTTTGTACACTTATTAGATAATATAGCTCTTTATCTTTTGTCTTCTTCTGAACCTAAGCTCATGGGATATCTTCTTTTTTGTGTGTTCTTTACGTCAATATAAACATACTAATTACATATTTTTTTCGCGTTTCGTAAGAAAATAGAAATCACTTGAGGTTAATGTGGCTTGTTAGAAGGCGGTTGATTTGTACGATCTGAAACAGCAAGCAGAAGAATTTGTTTGTTAGAAATTTGTGCTGCGTGTTTTAATTGCGAAAAAAAAAAAACAAAAATTATTCGTACGATAAAAGGGAATAGCGTGATCGACGTTAAAGTAATTAGTCAAACAGAGATGCCGCGTCGTGTATCGCGAGCGGAGAAATCAGCGGAAAGGAGGAGATGCGCGAATTAGCAAATGCGTTGTATGTCACGAGAGAGCGTGAGCGCGCACGTGACGCGAGACTATATGAGAATGTGTCACAGACGTTGCTTATAATGTGACCATTGCTAAGCCAAGGCTACTATTACGTTCGGCGTGTTCGCGCGCGCAGGGACTCGTATGCTCGCTTTGATATCCGCGTACGTTGTGCCTAGCCGTTTCATTCACGTTGCTTAGAAGTCTGACGATGGCTTTGAACTTGTCGCGTCATTCTGAGTAGTGCAACTCGATCGAAGACAGTAGAGATGGATATACCGTCACCGGCGAAAATTTTCGCGACGATCCGTTACTTTCAAAAATGGAAAAACTTGAACTTATTTTCTGTAAATGTGCGTGTGTGTGTAACGTGTATATATTTAATCCAAATAATTGAATTAACAAAGTATAAGAATTTCCATCTCTATTAAGTTAATCTTTAATTTATTTTAAAAAAAATACTGAAGATATCTAAACAATTCTAGAATCTATTATCATTTAGCTTGTTCGTGCTCGTGCGAGTTTCGTTACCATCGTCAAAAATCGTACTAGTCCACCATAAAATATCGATCGATGTTCGCTCTCTCGTTCTCCAATTGCTTCTCTTTCTCCTATCCGTCTCTTCCCTTCTTTCTCTTTTCCTCTCGCACGCAGTCACACATACAGCGTTAAACTTTTTCACAGGGTCGCAAAAACAGCACCAAACCATTATCGGAGCCTTTTTTGTGTGAAATAAAAATAAAATAAAACAAAAGGTAAAAATTTTAAGAAATAGCATTACAGTCAACAGTTGGATTGTTTGCTACCTATAACATAGAATCTGACGAAAATAGACTTGTTTCTGTTTCGCTACCCCGTGTGTGTATGCATGTAATCTAGGTAACATACATGCGTGAGCGCACGCGGCGCTTTCGCAGCGGAGCTTTCGCAAAGCATGCAGATATATAACGCGTAGAGCGATAGCTCTCGCTACGTAGCGGTCGCTTTTCCCACCCCAATATCCCCTGCCGCCTCGTTTTCCGCCCCCAAACTGTAATAGCTTTACAGCTGTGACCGCGCGGTGCTTTCGCTATCGCTGGGAACTTGCACTGTCGTTCGGCCAGCACTTTCGCTCGCAACTCGACCTTGCGCGAGACGCATCGACTATGTCGCGCTGCACGCAAGTTTATCTCGCTCTGTTATTGACACGAAGAATTAAAATACTCAATTCTACCAGATTAATTTTAACAGTTCCATATTCATTCTCCGGTTTCTTTTTTCAAATTTGCAATTCAGTATTTGTTCATTTGCTTTTTCAAACTAATAAATAAATATGCCTATAGGCGTTTATACATTATTTATAAACGTATAAATTTGTATCTTGACTCTGCTCTAATTAAACATACATAAATAACAAGATATGTAGACTTTAATTAATTAGATCGATTAAATTTTTGCGCGAAGAACTTTCGGATGGCTTTCGTCTCAGCAATTGAACTTTGTTAATGTCCATAAATCTTGGTCTAGACTGAATATCGCGAACTTTAATCTTTAAAGGTCGCGAAACTCGACGTGCCGATAGTGTACGCATAAACTCTGAATGGTGGCGTTATTCTTTGTTCGAAACAACCACTTTACACAAATCGAGCTGTAGAATAACACTGATAAAGATAAATTCGAAAAAATTCTCTTCTCCGCAACAAAGGAAAAGACATTGTAAAATACATTTTGATTATTAATTATTTAAGATAAGTGGCAATAATAAATCTCTTTTCTTTAATATCGTAGCTCGTAACATCTTAGCAAATTTATTCTGCGGAATAAATTTGTGGAATATTTTAAGCCAAAATATTTTTTTTTTATTATAGACGTAAGAATGTTTGTGATCACCCGTTAGCTCGCCATCTCCGGTTGCACTTTCGTCGAATCGACTGTAGGTGCATACACAAAAATTCAATACCACCGTCACGTCATATACAGGGTGATCTAAACAAAATAATATATCAATCGCAAGTCTTTATCATTTTTCTTCGATATCTTTCCGAATAAACATTAATGACTTCATCAATTAACTACATGTTTGATATCATCATACATATTTATCAAATCATTGTTTGTCAAATCATTGCCAATCACTGCCAAATCATTAGATAGTGAATACATAGTACAAAAAGACATGAGAATAAATGATGCTATTATATTATTTCGTAAGAAATTTTGCCCCGATAACTCTTCATTTAATCCTCTTTATTTTCTCCAACATCGGAATTTAAAGAATTATTATCGTCAGCCGCCGGTAGAATATTTTTCATCAAGAAACTATAAAATTCCTTCAATTACAGAATGTACGCACTGAGGTATAAGTAGGACACCCTTTTTTGGGACACTATAACTACGACAGAGAACGAGTCGTTTGCGGATTCTTTCGTTCGTGGCGAAGCGCAGGACGCAAATTCCGAGAAGCGCATATAAACCAGCTGCCATAGAGACCCGGAGATTCCACACGCTTGGAATTAATATTAGCCATGCGTCGCTAACGGAAACGTCGCCGAGAAAAATCGCACCCGCTCTTTGCGATACTGAATTTTAATCGTAACGGAATTCTATCAGATTAGCACGACAAACGATTTCGACACGTCGAAAAGAGAACGATCTTGCGTGTATCTGTCGGCGAATTTTGTAATTTAAATTCTTGATACCTGTATTGCTAAATATATAATAATTTTTTTAAAGAAAGACATTTGTGGACGAAGTATAAGAAGAGATTTATGCAATTTATGATTCTTTAATGACACTAAAGTAGCTGCGAACAAGAAGCAAGTATTTCATGGCAAACTTCTGTCATTACTAACTCCAGTCTGTCTTTCGAGATGCAAGCACGTATCATCAGGCTTGCTGTTTCTCGTGCATCATGAAAGAAAAAGATTAAAACGATTCGTGCGCCATTTTTGCCGCCGCGTAATGCCGAAATTAGCGCGATGCCACCACGAAAAAGCGGTTTAACGCACGAGAAAGAGAAAGATGCGCTTTAAGTATGCAAGTTGGATTTGAATCTTTCAAAAAATTCAGATTTCATGGGCATTTCTCTGCTGCGAAATTAAATTGGATTAAATCGGAATATATCGCTATTGCCGAAAATATTATTTTCAAATTTTTTTTACAAAACGCTCTTTTATCTTCTAGTGATGAAATTGATTGGAAAGACTTGGAATTAGCAGAATTTTGGATAATTCGCGTAATCGTAAAACTATCAAAATTTTAATTTCGTGATTTAAAAATTAATCATTAATTTAAGAGAGAGATATGGAAAAAAAATCATATTCTGACCACGTTCTCGATGCAGCTCGCCGCGGACGAATAGACTGTGCATACACGAAGGGCCGGTACGTGTGCGCGTGCACATCCGTGGGACCTTGAATCAAGCGGCCTTTGTCGCGAGAGAGCCGAAGAGTCCGGCTGCCCGCGCGCGCGCGCGCGCGCCCGGCATCGCGAGGTCGGCGAAAGTGTACCCGAAGCTCCTTTTTTGCTCGCGGCCGCCGCGAGCGGCGCTCATTTTTGCCCTCTTTCTTCTCTTAAGCTAGCTCGGAACTCCCTGGAGCGACGGAAACGGACGTACATGCGTTTATTATTAGATTTTGACTCGCTCGATCCTGCCCGAGCGCCACGGATAAGCTAATGATGACTGCACGGTGTCTCAACAATGATTGATCGGAGTAACGACAGTGGACACTATCGGCGGCGATGCGCGCGGGTCGATATGAGCGGAGAACAGAAATCGAAATACCCGTCAGAGTCTCGCGCTTAAGTAAGCGCACGGCGAGACTTTTCTATACATATGTTTAGAATTTTGAACTGCCACAAAGTGAAATCAACGTTTACAAAAGATTTCGTTAAATTGTTGCATTGTGTATTGAAAAATTTCTGTACAACAGGACGTTAAAATAAAATACAAAATACAAGTTAAACCACGGTGTAGTTGATTTTGTTGTGGCGGTTCTTTACAAATATTATCAATGTTATAAGTTGTCGTTTACTTGACAGTTGCAATCTCGTCTCTCCTCGTGTCTCGTGCTTTTAATGATTTTCCGCAACGGAGACCGCGGCTTCTAAGCAGGACCCTACCTCGAGAGTCGGTTTCAATATTGTTCGTGTTGGAACCTCTCTTGTAACGCTTAACCGCAACCGATCGGACGGGCATCGCTTCCGCGTAATTATTTTTGCCAAACTCCAACTTCCTCGCGGTGCTTAGCGAACCCAAACAGATCCTTCTCCCACCACCTCTCGAAATTTCTCATCGATTCTCACGCCAGCGCATCCCGAATCGCGCGGGAACTCGCCGCGAAAACAAAGAAGCCGCGCTGCGAGCATCGATGGATCACCCCGCGGGTGGGTGAGCCAGCGTGTGCGGGGGTGAGAGAGGATCGGCACTCCGAATCGCGCGTCCACCCGGCAGGCTAACGGACGAGGTCACTTGTTGCTGTCCAGTTTTGCGCGGTACCGTTGAATTTGCGACGTCCGGTTGCGGCTACCGATGCCCTCTCCTTCTGCGACACGAAAAAAAATCGGTCGCGGGCGAAATCGTTTGACGGCGTGCGCGCACACATACGCGACGCATTCGACCGCGCACTGATTCGCGCGCCAGCGCACGCATGTTCGCCGGCCGGCCGGCTGCGCGCTCTTCGTGTATGCATATATAGGGTGTCCCGAGTGTTTACCCGGGCTATCTGACGGCCGTGAAAAGGGACCGGAACGGCGAGAAGGAGTAGAAAGCGAATCACCAAAGTTGTATTCTCGGGAGAAACTTTTTTCGACGAATTTTGAGACAATGTTTCTTTTAAGAAGCAAATGAAGGATATTTGCATTGCGACAATGTACAATATCGACTGAATACACTCGAAAATGAAGATGCGACCCTATATGCATTGCGTGCGTACACGTGCGCA